CCCCCCCCCCCCCCCCAAGGATTTGAAAGGCTACCCATGAACCTTTGCCCAAGGATTTCTTGGCTATCCTTAACCGTCATAACTTGAAAATTTAACAGTTATTTTCGATCGTAAGAAGGTGTGTATGAAGAACACAAAAATGAGTTCTATACAACGGCTTGATCTCAAAGACTAAGAACAAAGCTTAGCCGGTGTAGAACAAAAATAAACTCTCTCAAAAATACAATATAAACCTATGAATATGAGAGTATATATCTAAAACACAAGTTCAAGAGTGTGTGTATAAAAATCAGCAGAATGAGGCTCTTGAAATAGCCAAAATATAAACAATTAAAAATAAAAAGATGAACACACTTAAAATATAAAAGTAAGATGTTTGGAGCTTTTTTTTCTTGTTGAAATATGAAGGATTAAGCTGTATTTATACTGGAAGATGTTAAATAGTCATTGGAAGGTGATTAGAATTAATTTCATTCAAATTCAGCAATTAGGAACAGTAATTGCAACGGCTACGGTACCTATCGCGGTATCGAGCTATCGGACGGTACCTAGGTACCTTGTCATACGGTATGCCCTACCGGCTAGGGGTACCGTGTACCTTAAAAAAACCAGCCTGATCTGGCGGACTCTAGGGTATCACGATACCATGGTACCGTAGGGACGCTAGTGCCTACCGTGGCAACGATAAGGTATACCGTGAAGAGTACCGTATGCCTGTCCTAGGTTTTCTAAAATTTGCTTTATGCTTCTCATTGGAGTTTAAAACCTTGTGGATATTTGAAATGTTTATGAGATGGTTTAAACATATTTTGTGAGTGCTTTTGATCTTGTGAATATATAATCATATCCTCACACTTGTTTCTACCTATATTCAACGGTAGTTTAGTGTTTTGACGTCATTCTTGACTCTTGAGAACCGAATCTTAATGGGTTCTTGTACTTGAAACACTTAAACAAACATTAGCTTTTATATTATTTATTAACATCAAAATACGAGGCTTAGGAAACCAAGGCTAACAGAAATAGTACATTAATGCTTTGTATAGTACGTGTATAAGATGTGAACACCTAACCTACCACTCCATATATTTTTATTTTATTTCTTAGCAGTTCCAGATTAATTTATATTGATTACTATTTTTTCATAAAGTTTGTATGATTTTAGTTATTTTTCTCATTTTCGTTACTTGTTATGTCTATTTTTTATTTTTACCCAAAGATAGACTAATCTTTAAAAAATAAAAATGATGGAGGTAGAAAGTAATTTTAAAAACTTGAATTTAAAAAAAATATAAAACAAAAATCCATCGAAAATAATATCTACTTTCATTTTGTTGCGCAAAATAGGCCATTCCCGTTAACTCTCCGTTAGTAACTTAACGGCGACCCAAAACTCACAAATTTTAATAAAGTTAAGATTATTATATAACACAGTGAAATGTGAGATTATTTTTAAAAAACGGATAAAGATGGGATTATTCCAGATAATTTTTCCCATTTTTAAGGTTATCTCTAATGCTCTATCACGATTTGTTCTAAATTAGCAGATACTCAACGCCACATCATCGCTGATTGCACTCACAGTCTCACTCACTTCGCATCCGTAGTGCCTAACTTCTACTGCAATGATCACACTTCAATTTTTTTATTTAATATTTATCTATTCATATTCAAAACAAATTATTTCTTTTAAATTAAAATTAAAATTTATTCTTTTAATTGTTTGTCTGCTTAAGATTATTTCCTGTTTTTTATTTTAAATTTCTTTTAATATTTCCATTTTTATTTATATACAATTTTGTTTAAATTTTGTTGTCCTATTTTATTTGTTTAATATCTTTTGCCATTTTATTGTTTACCATGCTCAAGAAAAAAAGAAGAGATAAATAGTACTAGAAAATACTCGATTGCACAACTAAAAATAAGGTTACCACTAAAATAAATAATAGTAGAAAAAATTCTTTACTTTTTTATATCATAAAAAAAGAAAAAACATAAATTAGTTTAAATTAAAAGGGAAAAAAATATGATTACATAATTTAATATTACAACGTGGTTGGCTCCAAAATATAATAATTTAAAACATAATCCTTCTGTCCAACAATAATCTTCTCATTTTGAACAACATGTAAAATCTCATCTTTTTAAAGTTACTTTATTTAGAAATTGGTATATCATAAAAAGTACCCCGTACAAATTACATTGTTCAAAACTACATCAAAAGTTTTACAAAACAAGATGTGACAAGAATATTTTATCTTATCAAATAATTTATGAAAATATGCAAAAAAATATAAGTTATCGAGAGACTGTAATAATAACTAGGAAATTTATTGTTGGACATAAACTCCAAATTATAATTTGAAGAAAAATAAAAGTGAGACATAAACTCCAAATTTGAAGATCTACCGAATGATACTTATTTTTAATTTGAAGAAAAATAAAAGTGAGACATAAACTCCAAATTATATATGCAATATTAGTATCATTCGGTAGATCTTGTAAAAATATTTCCAAGAGTAAATTTCATAATTAGTCCTTCACAATAGGAATTTTCTCTATTTAGTTCTCTATTATTAAAATTTACCCTAGTGGTTCTTCTTTTATGGGTACCTTCACAAAATAATCCTTTTTTGGATCTTAAATCATGTTGGTGTTAATTTGAAGACTAAAAGTGTAATATCACAATGATCATATATCACTCTTGTCATAAAAAGTTCTAGAGGTCGTTGGAGAAGCATCGTTTGTGAATTACAGTCGTTTTTTACTACAATCATATTTGTCAGTATCCTAGTCCACAACCATAGTCATATTGTTGTGTTGCCTCTCTAATCGACATCAGAATACGTCACCAGACATAAGGTTGATGTCAAATTATACTTTTAGCACTCAAATTAACATCAAAATGACGGAAGGTTAAAAAAGGACTATATGTGGAAATATACTCATAAAAAGGATCACGGGGGTAATATTTGATAATAGGAGACTAAATATGAAAAATGTTTTGTTATAAAGAACCAAATATGGAATTTACTCTATTTCCAAAGATATATTATTTGTCAAGTAATAACTTACATACAAAAAGTTATGAACAAAATAGAATTTAAAATATACTCTCCCGTCCCAAAAAGATTACCACATTTCCTTTTTCAATCATCAATTCATCATGAAATTTTTTTATTTGTATGTTTTCATTGATTATTTGATAAAATAAAACATTCTTTACACCTCTTATTTCGAAGAATTTTTCATGTATTTTTTAAATATGTAAATTTTTTTTATTTCTATACCAATATTTAAATAAAATGAATTTAAAAAAAATTATATTTTGCCTTGTTTCATGAAATATGGCAAATATTTTGGGATAAAGGGAGTAAAAAACAATTAAATTAGAATAAATTAAAAAAGAAATAAAATATCTCTACCAAATTGTAGCCACAACCACGAAGCCATTCTTCACACCACACTCACGGATCAGCTTCACGAGGAGGAGGGGCGGTGTTCATCCGTGATCATTGCCTATGTGGCACTACCATAGCGGATCACTGATATCCCAGTGTGAGACTACAGATAGCTTAAGGGTCTGTTTGGTAAGTTTTGGATGTACAATAAAATATGAGTAATAAAATCTAGGAAAAATGATGAATTTTGAATAATTTAAAATTATGATTTAATTAGTGATCGATGGCGTCGGACGATAGACAAAAACCTTCATATTAAGTAGCACATGGAATGATCAAGCCTCCATATTGATATCTTCGATCCGAAATTCGGAAGATATCAAAAACCTCCACTGGGAGGATTTATTATATCCAAAGATATCAAACATCAAAAATGATTTTGATACCAGGTGATATCAAAACACCTATCTCTTTTGCTTCCCAAAAACACCATAGATATTATAGAGAATATTTTCTACAAATAATATACAAGATTAATATATATTCCCTTATTAATCTATGTTCACATACTATTGTAATCTTTACTAGTAGACTCCGACATTGATCGTGTGTCAAAGTTAGAGGTTGGATAATTGAATGACTATGTTTGCATCGTCAACGTCTTAGTGTGATTTCCTTGTTCTTAGATGCTATACGTTTCTTCTCTACTATAAGTTTGAGTACATGATCCAGTGAGGATTACCATCCTTAGAGTACAGTTTTAAATTTTTTGTATTTCCGGTTCCCTATCCTAACATGGTTATATTTAAAAAACTATATCAAAAGTTCTACAAAAATTCTACATCAAAATTTCTACCTGAAATTATTTCATGCAAATTGTTTCTTTTCAAATTTTTTATCAAATTATAAAATTTGAAATTATATTTTCAAAAATAGAATGGTACACTGTTATCAAAGACATGTAGTGAGCTGCCAAACAAAATGTAGTGCTATTGCGAGAAAACAATTGTAGTGGATTATCAGAAAACCAAATTGAATGTCGCTTTGGCCAAAAAATTAAAGTTTGAAATGTGGTTTTGTAACACCCCGGTCTCCACAGTGGCCATAAGTAGTTTTGTACTTTTTCAATATTTAAGTCTTATTTAGGGTGAATTCTATTTTCCAAACCCCTAGATATTCCCTACTATGTGAACTAAGCTCGTTAGTCATCACGATCGCAGGGTGGCTCTGATACCATTTGTGATACCCCGGCCCCCACTGCACCATGGCAGTAAGTGTCCGCTCAGGGGACTGTATATAGACTGGCCCCACAAACCAACAAAAATCATTCCCGCATACTTTGTCTTCAATCGTGCGCACCCTAGGAACTTCCTAAGGGGTCACCTATCCAAGAATTGTTCCAAGTCAAGCACGTTTAACTTTCGATTTTCTAAGTAATGAGCTATCGAAAAGAAGATGTACTTTTTTGGTATAAGTAGTACTATAAGTCATTTTGAACCTTTTTTTCTTTCCCCAATCCATTTATTTTCAAATCAAGGTATTATAGGTTTTGAAATTTTATTTTATATATATATATATATATATATATATATATATATATATATATATATATATATATATATATATATATATCGATATTATTGGTCAAAATATTATATTGGAAACTATGAAAGTTCAAATGAGAATATTAAATCTTGACGGAGGAATAATTATTTATTGAGCACTGATTTGGGAAAATGCTTTATTAAAATAAATTATTTTGAAAATTCACTCTAAAAAATTATTATAAGAGTATTCTAACTATTTAATCTTAGGGATTATTGGTTTTCTTTGTCTAGAATGTGAAATTTTATGCTGCTCTCAAGTGTCACCCAACATTTTTGGTCGAAGGATATAGACATGGGCTATAGCATTTTAGTAAATAACTAATATCACACCCGTGCGTTGCACGGATCATTTTTACGTCATTAAATTAAGATCATTTGTATACTACATTATTCGTACAATTTGTGGGAACATTGTCTGCGTTTCATATCAAAATCTTCAATCCACTACGATTAGTTACTCTTGAAACTGCAACATATAATTGTCCATGACTAAACACCAGTTTTTATAACAATAATCCAACATATTTTAGAGATTGTCCCTAACTCTTGTTAATCATCATTGCATAGGAAGTAACCACAGGGAATTGTTTTCAATTCTCTGAAACTTGAACGGAATTCTTGTATCGGATGGTGTTAATGATAGTCTTGCAAGCACACTAAAAATATTG